CTGCCTCTCCCGTGCAGTGGCCGCTATTGCTCCCGGCAAACCCCGCGGCTCGGGGCCAGCTCCACGGAGCTTCACTTTCTGCTTCCCCACAGTTGTGCATCCCCCGCGGATGCTCCATGGCCTTCGCTGGGAATGGGGCTGTGACCCCGGTGACCCTGCCCCGGGCCGGAAGGGAAAAGGGGAACGGGAGCCTCTGGGCGGTCTGTTTGCACCCCGAGGAGGGAGCTCTGTGCCGCTGGGTGCAGGCAGCTGCCAGCACCCTCCTGCCTCCTCGACAGCTCACAGGGGTCCTGCTGGGCCGGGGGGACACAGCTGCCCCAGGCTGTAGGTGGCACCAGCAGTGGCCGAGGTGCTGGGCTGTGCCCAACCCGGGTGAGCAGAGATTGAGCTGTGGTCACCCCAGGGCTGGTGGCCTGTGCTGCCCGGGGACACAGGAGCTGCCTGGATGGGGCCAGGGCAGGCAGAAGGAGGGCCAAGTGGTGGTGGGCGTGTGGCTGCAGGGATGTGGTGGCTGTGGCTCCTTACCCATCCTTGCAGGGGATTTACGTTTCATAAGGAGCAGACGGGCCCCAGCCTGCCTGGGGCTGGGCTGCCCTGGCACTGAACGGATGACACGCGCCGGAGCCTCCCCACCATGTGCTCTTGGTGCTTTGGGTTGATTCAGCAAGACATGAGCCAGTCTGACTGCCCCAGTGTGTCTGCTGGAGGTGACATCACCAACTGGGAACCAGTTAAACCAGCGCCGTGCTCCCAGTCTGTGCAATCCCTTGCAAAGTGGGCTGCGGTGGGATCTCTCTGGGGCTGGTCCCCTCTGCCTGCTCCTGTGCCCTGGGAAACCCTCACATTGGCCACGGGGAGGGAAGAAGAACTGTCTGCAGCTGCCTGTGCTCCAGAAAATCATCTGGTGGGACTGTGGAATCCCCCTGACCGGGACACACGTGGTGTGTGACCCAAGGTCCTGCATCAGTCAAGTTCCCCTTTGAGGCCGGAGCATCTCCCCACCACACAGCAGGGCTGGACTGTGTCCATTCCAGTGTCTCCCTTTGTCCAGGAGGAGGGGACTCATGGCCCCCCAAATAACGGGAGCAGGAGAGGACTGGATGGGCGAGAGGTCGGTGGGTGCCCTGAGGCCACCTCTGGGTGCTGGCTGAGCATCGGAGGGACGGGGCTGGGGCAGGACAGCACTCGGGGCTTCCAGGCTCTTTCCACCTCAGGACAGGATGCCTTTCTCTTGCCTCATGGGCCAGGGCCGAGGCAAGATGCCGATGGCGGGGATGCTGCCGGCCCTGGCAGCTGGTCTCCATTTGGGAGGAGGCGTC